CTCATCTTTCAAAAGTGGTGGCCTATGGATCGTATTGTATGTACACATTCACATATGCATCTGTAGATATATAGATACAGAGAGAGAGAGAGAGAAAGAGAAAGAGAAAGAGAGAAAGAAAGAGAGAGAGAGAGAGAGAGAGAGAAACATAATCACAAAAAGTGAGAAAGAGAGAGAGAGAGGAAGAGGGAGAGTGAGAGAGAGAGGGATACGGGGAGGATGGGGAGAACGGGAGGGGGACAGCAGGGCAATCAAGGCAGGAGGGTCGGAGGGAGGGAGACTGTGGAGCAGGAGGACATGGACAACATGAGAGGGAAAAGGGAGGGGGAAGGGAAGGAAGAGGAGGTGGAGGTTCCCTGGAGAGGGGCAAATCTTGGGGGGGGGGAGCGGAGGAGGGGGAGGGACAAGGAGAAGGGAGGACGCTTGATGAGCGCACCTCTCCGCGATCCCCCTGCGGGGGCGGGCCGCCAGGTGGGCGGCGGACCCCGCGGTGTCCAGCTCTCGCTCTCTCTCCCTCTCTCCCTCTCTCTCGTCATGTCTTTCTCTCGCTTGTTTTTTCCCCCACAGCCTGCGAGAGGCCCAGCACGGCCCTATAGGACCCTCAGAGCGCCAGAGATGACCCCCAAGACAGGCCCCCCACGAGGCTGGCGACGTCCCAAGCGGGCACGACGACGACCCAACAGGCCCCCCAAATGGCCCCAAGAGACCCCCAGGAAGTGCCGACTCGCAACCCTGGATTAGCTAGCCGACGGCCGGATCATCAGTAAATGCGTAGGTGTAGATGTATGTACATGTGTATATATATATATGTATATGATACAGCCGACGGTCGGGCCATCAGCTAATGTATATATATATATGTGTGTGCACATGCAAGTGTTTGTTTCGTGCACAAACTACACCAGCATCTCGCAGGTGTTATCCAGAAAGGTGCTTGTGCTCAGACCACCTGTCACTGGATACATGTGCGTTGCCGCCTGCGCAGCAGGCCCAACTGCGATCATGCGATGTTCTGCTACTCGTTGGATGAGCAGATCTACACCGTTGGCCAGGACGCGTGTTGCTAAGAGGGTGCATCTTCAGTTCGACTCGTCATTACCCTTCGGCTCATCTCGCTCTCGCTCGACTTGTCTCCCTCGGTTAGCTCTTCATGCCTCGCCGCTTATCCCGCATGCATCCCCCTTTTCGTTCATTTATCTCCCTCCATCTCCCTCTCTTCATCCCTCTCTCTTGTGTTCTCTGAGTTCCCTCCCTCTCCCTTTCTTCCACACTTTGCCTTCCTTCTTATCTGTATCTCAGTCTCTCTTGCTCTCTTTTTCTCCCTTTCCCTGCCTCTCTCTCTCTCTCCCTCTGTGCCTTTATGTTGATGTGTCTATATATATATATATACACATGTATGTGCGTGTGTCTGTACAGACATGTATTCACACGACATGTGTACGTGTATGGCGCTCTCTCTCTCTCTCTCTCTTCCCCCCCCCCCCCCGCTCCCTTCCTTGTTATATTTCCAGACATCCTGAGTGGAGTTCTTGTTTTCCTAGAACACCCTCTCCTTCTCCTCCTCCTTCTCCTCCTTCTCCTTCTCCCGCCTTCCTACCATAACATACCACACCACCTACCATACCATAGCACACCTACAATACCAAAGTTACCATACAATACCAAAGCTACCACACCATACCTAACACTCCAGGGAAGCCACGCCGGAGCGAGTACAGCATCGGGATACCATACCATTTACAAGGTTTCGTGCCCCTCCCAACCCTCCTGGGAGGCCCCGCCTGAGCGAGGAGGGTATTCGAAGCCATACCATTTATCAGGTTCCGTGGCCCTCCCACTCCTCCAGGGAGGCCCCGCCTGAGCGATGAGGGCATTCGAAACCATACTATTTATCAGGTTCCGTGGCCCTCCCACTCCTCCTGGGAGGCCCCGCCTGAGCGAGGAGGGTATTCGTAATCCATGCTATCTATCAGGTTTCATGTCCCTCCCACTTCTCCAAGGAGGCCCCGCCTGAGCGAGGAGGGTATTCGAAAACCATGCTACGCACCAGGTGTCGTGCCCCTCTCACTCCTCCAGGGAGGCCCCGCCTGAGCGAGGAGGGTATTCGAAAACCATGCTATGTATCAGGTGCCGTGTTCCTCTCACTCCTCCAGGGAGGCCCCGCCTGAGCGAGGAGGGTTTTCGAAAACCATGTTACGTATCAGGTTTCGTGCCCCTCCCACTCCTCCAGGGAGGCCCCGCCTGAGCGAGAAGGGTATTCGAAAACCAAACTATGTACCAGGTTTCGTGCCCCTCTCACTCCTCCAGGGAGGCCCCGCCTGAGCGAGGAGGGTATTCGAAAACCATGTTACGTATCAGGTTTCGTGCCCCTCCCACTCCTCCAGGGAGGCCGCGCCTGAGCGAGGAGTGTATCAAATACACCGCACCCGCGTTGGGTCCCAGTGGCGGGTTCCACATGCGTCTCCCCCACCCAGCACAGCGTTTCGTGGCCCCGTAGGGCGCTCCACCTAAAGCACCAGTTCTGGTGTCCGTATGCGCTTCCCCCACCCAGCATAGCGCTTCCTGGCCCCATAGGGTGCCCCACCTAAAGCCCCAATGGCGGTGTCCACATGCGTCTCCCCCACGCAGCACAGCGTTTCGTGGCCACACAGGGAGCTCCACCTAAGGTCCCAATGGCGGTGTCCACATGGGCCTCCCCCGCCCAGTACAGCGTTTCGTGGCCCCATCGGGTGCTCCACCGAAGGCCCCAGTGGCGGTGTCCACATGCGCCTCCCCCACCCAACACAGCGCTTCGTGGTTCCAGAGGGAGCTCCACATAAGGCGCCAATGGCGGTGTCCACATGCGTCTCCCCCACGCAGCACAGCGTTTCGTGGCCACACAGGGAGCTCCACCTAAGGTCCCAATGGCGGTGTCCACATGGGCCTCCCCCGCCCAGTACAGCGTTTCGTGGCCCCATCGGGTGCTCCACCGAAGGCCCCAGTGGCGGTGTCCACATGCGCCTCCCCCACCCAACACAGCGCTTCGTGGTTCCAGAGGGAGCTCCACATAAGGCGCCAATGGCGGTGTCCACATGCGTCTCCCCCACCCAGCACAGGGCTTCGTGGCCACATAGGTGCTCCACCTAAGGTCCCAGTGACGGTGCCCACATGCGTCTCCCCCACCCAGCACAGCGCTTCGTGGCCACATAAGGGAGTTCCACCTAAAACACCAGTTGCGGTGTCCACATGGGTCCCCCCCACTCAGTACAGCGTTTCGTGGCCACACAGGGAGCTCCACCTAAGGTCCCAATGGCGGTGTCCACATGGGCTTTCCCCACCCAGTACAGCTCTTCGTGGCACCATCGGGTGCTCCAACGAAGGCCCCAGTGAGCTCCACATAAAAGCGCCAGTGGCGGTGTCCACATGCGTCTCCCCCACCCAACACAGCGCTTCGTGGCTCCATTGGGAGCTCCACCGAAGGCCCCAATGGCGGTGTCCACATGCGTCTCCCCCACCCAGTACGGGGCTTCGTGGCCACATAGAGAACTCCACCTGAGGTCCCAGTGGCGGTGTCCACATGCGTCTCCCCCACCCAGCACAGCGTTTCGTGGCCCCAGATGGAGCTCCAACTACGGTCGCAGTGGCGGTGTCCACATGCGTCTCCCCCACCCAGTACGGCGCTTCGTGGCCCACACGGATTTCCACCGAAGGCGATACAAACAACGGCGGCATTCACAGCTAACTATAGCTGGTTCCTTCGCCAAGCTATTTGTTTTTTTGTGCTCTCTCTCTCTCTCTCGCTCTCTCTCTCTCTCTCTCTCTCTATCCGCCTCTGTCTCTCGCTCTATGTCCCGCTGCTGCCTTTATTCAATTGCTTTGCTCATTCCGCTGGCCCTGGAGCGCTCTTTGGGGCCTCGTGGGGGCCTCTTGGAAGCCTCTTGGGGATCCTTGGCGGCGTCTTGGGGGCCCCTGGGGCCTCTTGGGGGGCTCTCGGGGGCTTTTTGGGGTTGGAGGGGGAGGCCGTGGATTGCGGCTGCCTTTATTGTTCTGTATGCACATCCACCTCATTCTATATTTCCGCTGGTCTGTATTGCGAACGCCTTGCGGCGGGTACCGCCGACGCTGAAGGGGGGCGACGGCGGCGGCGGCGACGACGACGACAACGACGACGCCGACGTGGGTGAGAGTCTTCAGGAGAGCTTCTTGGGATCTCGTCGGAGCGCTCTCGTGGGCCTCTGGGGGGCAGTTTGGGGGCCTCCTGGCGGCCACTTGGGGGGGGGGTCTCTCGGGAGCCTCTTGGTGGCCTCTTGGGGTTTCCCTGGGGCTTGTTGGGGTCGTCTTGGCCGTCTTGGGACCTCTTGGAGGCATCTGGAGGGCTTCATGCTGCCCTGGGAGCTTCCCAGGGCCGAAGGCTCGAAATTTCCATTCGGGTCCCCCGTATGGGTGTCCTCTTGGAGCCGTCTTGGGGCCCTTTTTGGTGCCCCCTTGGAGGCCTCTTGGGCCATCTTGGGGCGGTCTTGGGGGCCTCTTGGGCCGTCTTGGAGCGTCGGGAAGCCGAAAAGGCGAGCACACCTAAATCTGTCGACACCCGTTCTGGGAAACCAATCGGACCACGTCACCTCTTCACGGATGTCACAAAAATTGCGCAGCTGCCAGCCCCCACGGGAGCCGCAAAGTCTCGTCTGGATCCACGTGTCCATCCGCCCCGTTGGGCCTCCAAGGAGCCCGCGAGAGTGGGGTGAGCTGCGCAGGTGGCTGCACCCTAGGGGAGCCGCGGGCTCACGGGGACATCCGCACAGCGCCCTTGCCCCTTCGCCTCCTCCTCCTCTGTTCCTCCGCCTCCTCCTCCTCCTCCTCCTCCTGCTCCTTCTCCTCCTCCTCCGCCTCCTCCTCCTCCTCCTCCTCCTCCATCTCTTCCCCCGCCTCCTCCTTCTCCTCGTCCTCCCTCTCTTTCCTCCTCCTCCTCCTCCTCCTCCTCCTCCTCCGCGCCTCCTCCTCCTCCTCGTCCTCCTCATCCTCCTCCTCCTCTTCCTTTTTCTCTTCCTCCTCTTGTTCTCCTCAGCCTCCTCCTCCTCCTCCTCCTCCTCCTCCTCCTCCTCGTGTGCAGTTTAAGGGCGTCCTGCAGCGGCACGCTGGGCAACAAAGTGTGTCACGTCGGTGCGCATGGGCTGGCTCCGGTTGTGCCGTGATCATTCCTCTTGCTGCTCTTGTTCCTCCGCGTCCCTAGTCTCTGGCCGTTTTTGGTGGCCATGCTGCCAATCGGCTTGCCACCAATCGCATTTTCGGGTGTGCGTGCCCCCGTTCCGCTGGACCTCCGAGGAGCTGAAGACAGCTTCGGCAGCTGCGGAGTTGGCAGCCGACCAGGTGGCCGCGAGGTCTCGTCAGGGTCCGCGTGTCCTTCCACTCCGCTGGGCCTCCAAGGAGCCCACGAAAGACCAAACAGATGCGCGTATGATACCACTCCGCTAGGCCCCCCAGGAACCCACGACGGCGGCGACAGTTACGCGGGTGGCGGTGCCACCAAGCAGCCACGAGGTCTGGTGCCGATGCGCGTTTGACACCACTGCGCTGGACCTCCCAGGCGCCCACGAAAGAGGCGACAGTGAGGTCGGTGGTAGCACCATGAGGCAGCCGCGACATCGAGCCTGGATGCGCCTGTGACAGCTGAGCTGGGCATCCGAGGAGGCCACGAAATTGGCGGCAGCTGACACCGCTGTGCTAGGCCTCCAAGAAGCAGACGAACGAGGCGACAGCCGCACAGGTGGCAGCACCTCGAAGGAGCCTTGATATCGAGTGCGGACGTGAGTACGACACCCTGGCGTTGGGCCTCGCAGGAGACCACGACATCGGCGACCGTTGCGCACTCCACAGTACCCCGACGGAGCAGCGAGGTCTAGTGCGGATGCACGTGAGACACCACTGCGCTGGGCCTCTGAGGAGCCCGCGACATAGGCGGCAGTTGCGAAGGTATCGTATCACACCACTGCACCTGACCCCCCAGAGCTCACGACGGCGGCAACAGTTGCGCGAGGTGGAAGCATCCCCCAGAGCCGCGAGTTCTTGGTTGGCTGCGCGGTTGACACCACTGCGCTGGACCTCCCAGGAGCCCTTGACAATTGCGACAGGTGCACCGTTGGCAAGCCCACCACCAGGCAGACGCGATGTCAAGTCTGGATGCGCGTGTGACACACCTCCGCTGGGTCCCCCTATGAGCTCACGAAAGAGGCGACAGTTGCGCAGGTGGCAGCACGACCAGACAGCTCCGAGGTCTTGGGCGGATGCGCGTATGACACTACTCGGTTGGACCTCACAGGAAGCCACGAAAGTGGCGACAGCTGGGCTGGTGGCAGCACCACCAGGCAGCCGCGAGGTCTAAACAGTGCGGATGCGCGTGCGACATCACTCTTGTGTGCGTCGCAGGAGCTGACCAAAGTGGCGACAGTTGCGCAGGTGGCAGCACCCCAGGGAGCGCGAGAGGGCGGTGGGGGAAATGAAGGCAGGAAGAGGATGTGGACGAAGAAGCTTAGAGCAAGCAGCGCTCTTTGCAAAGCGAGTACCCAGGCAAAGGGAAGGCCAGAGAGAAAAACATCGATCCTCTGTATCCATCCTCCCCCTCCTTTTCCCCCTCCCCTTCCGTCTATTCCTTCCCCTTTCAACCCCAGGAATCGGGCCCTGACCTTGCCTGGTGTGGTTTTTTGATTGATACAGCGTTGAGTGGGACCCAGCCGTGTCGACGAGAGAATCTCTACGAGGCCAGAGCATGGCGAACATATCAAAACTGACTCGATCGTTGCTCCTACTCATCCTTCTCTTTCGGCCCGCGTCGCCCTGGTCCTTTTCAGCAGGCACGCCCAGGGGCAGGGGCTCGTCAGACATGACGTCTCTTTTACGCTGATCTCCTCTTGGAGGAGGAGGAGGAGGAGGAGGAGGAAGAGGAGGAGGAGGAGGAGGAGGAGGTGCATGCGACGGCCCTCTGCGCGCCATCCCCCTCCTCGCTCCCCCGTCGGCGCGAGGACGTGGAGCTCACGCCGCAGGCCGCGAATGAGCACAGGAAAGAGAATGAGGACGGACAGACAGAGAGGCAGAGGAGGAAGGACAGGCAGACCGAGGCATCAGGCGGACGAAGGTGGGACGGAGCAGGACTGGATAAACAGGCTGTACTAAGCACGCTCGGAGGAGGAGGATTGAAACCCGAGGTTTCGTGTTTTTATCCATGTCATCTTGCCTTGCTGAGCCTCCAGGGAGCCTCTCGTCGCAGAGGCTGGGTTCCACCGCGGGCTTCTGGTCGAAGCGCACCCCCGCGCAGGTCCGGCAGCGAAGTGTGGAGGGGGAGTCGGAGGAGGAGGGGGGATGAGAGGCTCCCGTTGCCTCAGGCGATCGGAGGAAACCTACACGCCGGTCGTTGAAAGCAGGCAGTTTTGGACTCCCAGATCCCAATCTACCTCAAGCGCCTGCCTGCTTCAAGAGTCGACGTGATTCTGCTGTATGTTGCTGTTCTCTGGGAGGGCCTGGGCCCGAGTCACTGTGTCCGCCTTCCTACTTTTTGAGTTTTTGCCTACTTCTTCTGACCGACGTGTGCTGTCGGCCAGCGTGGGCCCCCCGCACGGTGAGTGGCGGTGCAAGCCGTGGTCCCCGCTCTGTGATGCAGTCCGCGAGGGGGCGGACCGCGCGTTGCCGTGCAAGCTGCGTGGTGCAACATCTTAGCTATGCCAGCGATGTGCTGCAGTCCCATGCTCGAACAAGAACGAGCGGCAGAAACATCAAGCTCTCGGCGCTCCGCGCGGATTCCTTGGACCTGCCCTGGGCCCCCTATGCAAGCGATGTGCTGCAATCCATGCTCGAACAAGAACGAGCGGCATACACATCAAACTGTCGGCGCTCCGCGCGGATTCCTTGGACCTGCCCTGGGCCCCCTCTGGCGCGCTCCGCGCGCCAGGGAGAGGGGGTCCAGCTCAGATCCAAGAATTCCGCGCGGACCGTCACAAGTTTATGTCTTGCGACCTGGTTGTTCCCCTCTATGTGGCACAGGCGGTGTCGCACAAGCCATGTGGCGGATTCCGGGAACCCTGAACCCAAAAACGTGTTCACCTCTTGGGGGCGCATCTTTGGCTTCCGCCGCCTTCCGCCTGCCTCCCGCCGGCTTCCGACGGCGGAGGCGGCCTCCCCTCCGCCGCCTCTCCTCCGCTGAGGAGAGGAGGCCAACTCCTTCCATCCTCGACGGCAGGGCCCTCTCTGCAGCGCCTCGTGCGGGTGGCGACGGGGCGCCCATGGGCGGCGCGTGGGCGAGCACCTCGGCAGCCCAGCAGCCACCGCGCGAGGGGCCTCCGCCGAGGGCGCCCACGGGCGGCGCACCCGGGGGGCGAAGCCCTGGGGGGCCTCCGGTGCGGGCCAGCCGGGGCCCCCCGATCGCCGCGTGCGCTGCGGTGGCGGCGGCCCCCCGAAAGCCGCGCGGCAGGGGTCGCCTCTCACCCGGAGGGCCGTTTTCTGCGCGCCGTCGCGCGAGGCGCCCACGGGGCCCGCCCTCCGGCCCCCCGGCGACGGTCCGGCCCGCACCCCGGCCACGAGGCACGGGGCCCCTCCGGGCAGGCACGCCCGGCCCTCGGTCCAGCGGGAGCCGTGCACGTCCTGCCTGTGGGACGGGAGTGCCCCCCAGGCTCCTCCTTCCCTCCTCCCTCGCCTCTCCCTCCTCCCTCGCTTCTCCCTCCTCCTCGCTTCCCCCTCCCTCCTCCTCCTCCTCCTCCTCCTCCTCCTCCGCCTCCTCCTCCTCCTCCTCCTCCTCCTCCTCCTGCGCAGAGGAGCACGGCAGTCTGGCGTGTCTTGTTCCACTCCCGCAGGCGTGCCCTCTGGCAGGCTGAGCCTGCGCCCTGCTAGCCCAGCTGAGGCGAGATTGGTGCGGTGGCTCGCGCCAGCGACGGGTGCAAGCTTGATATATACAAGCTTTCTTTTACACTAGCTGAAGCCGCCCCGACATCGAGTTATTGTTTTTTCCTCCTCCTCCTCCTCCTCCTCCTCCTCCTCCTCCTCCCTGTTTCATCTGTGCTCGCCCCCGGTATTCCATGGACGCCCAGCCTGGGCACTCGCGAAGTGAACGGCTGCATCGCACGTTTTGGTGGTGATCCCGCCTCCGCTGCCCACTCCCTGTCCTTTCCGCCAAGGCTCGGCGTGGCAGCATCTGAGTTGTGTAGTCCCTCATGGGAGGGTCCACAGGCTCCCCTGAAGGCTCACCCAATCTGAGGCCATGATGCTTTTTCCGGATCGCTCGTATTTCGTGTCGCCTCGACGGGAGATTATTCAGACGAGGACTGGTCCCTGCATTGGCCCCTCCTGGGCCCCCTTGGAATCCTTCTTGGTCATGGGGGCCCCCTTTGGGGACCCTCTTGGGTCGTCTTGGGCCCCTCTGGGCCGCCTGGGTGGCTGCTTCAGGCTACAGTTGGAGCCATTCGGGCTCCTCTCGGGACGTCTTGGCGCACCCTGGGGGCCGAGCCCGAGCCCCTCCCGGGCCGTCGCGGGGGCGAGGCGGGGGCCTGGCTGGCAAGCTCCAGCCGGGCCGCCGGGCACGGCCTCCTGGCGCGCGGGCGCACCTCGGGCGGGCCCGGCGCGACGGCGACCTTTGGAGCTCGTCGGACGGGCGCCCGCGCGCGGACGCGGCGACACCTCGGCCGCGCCCTGCCGCGGTCGACTGTCCGATGCAGCCGGAGCGGCGCGGGCGTCCATCCAGCAGTCTGTCGTGGTCACCGTCGGCGGCGACCGCCCACTCGGCGGCTGTCTCGACGAGGGCGTCCACATCAGGATGTGCCGCCAGGGCGATGGCAGCAGCTCCCGCTCGGGCACGGCAGCCCAGGAAAGCGGCCGGCAGGTCCGACGGCCGTCGTGGTCGACGACAGCGCTGTGGGCAGCTATTTGGAGGACCGCGGCAAGAGGGACCATGGGCAGGTGGAGCGCGCGAAGCTAGAGTGGTCGCAGGGTGCCGAGTTTCACGCCGCCAGCATTTGCACGAAGCGGCAGAAGGTGCAAGTTCTGCCGTGCGCCACGCCAAGGGAAGGACAGGGCACGCACGCCCGAACAAGTTCGCCCGATTGCAGTGCAAGAAAGTGGCCGCGATGCTGGACAGCTTGGAAGGCCAGCGCGGCATCGAGGCTGACACGGGGCCGCTGGACACCGAGACCTATTACGAGGTGGTGAGCATCATGTCCCCCGCAGGGAAGAAGTACATGCGCAGCGTCCTGTCGGCACTGGGCGCCAAACGACCGGACAATGCCAGTGACCAGGCCGCGGCTAGTCCCGAGCATGCGGTGATCTCGGTCACCGCGTGATGGCAGGGCTGTGCCTTCAGGATCAGAAAGGATAGTCGCTAACAGCCTTGTCTCGCAGTCCACGGCTCACCGCATGAGCTTGCCCATGGCAGGTTGGCTCGTATGGCCTTGCGGCTATCCGCTAGGATGCCCGAGGATGCCACCGTGCGAGGCTGAGGCCAAGGGGGGCTCTGCACATCGCATGTTCCAAGCTGCCCGCACGTGTGCGGCATGTCGCACGGCATGGTGCCGTGCACGGAGCTTTCGCCGAGCTGTCAGATGTTTATTTTCCGGTGTTCGAGACCGTCTGCGCTCGCGGACGGGACCTGGGTTGATGCGCGTTTCCCAGCGTGCGCCATGGAGCACGGCGCATCCTTTCGGCCTCGGCACCCTTCTCCGCCAGGAAGAACGTCCCACTATTCCTACTGGTCCTCTCCCCTGGGTCGGCCACCCCGCTCTTGCCTCCGAGTCTGCATGAACTTGGAGGACCCTGCCACGCGGTGCCATGCAACGCGCCGTTCGGACACCTTGCTTTCGTCAAGCCCTTAAGTGTGCTGCAATGAGCTACTGTGTACTGTTGTGCAAATCGCCTGGACGTCAGCCTTCCCCGACGCCGTGAGCGTGTGGGTAGACAGCTATTCTAGCGTGGTCGACCTACGGACGCGGAGAGCGCTCTTGTTGCACAGCTTCTCTGCATTGTACGATGTAAGACTTCGCTCTGAAGAGCAGCGCTGCGCTTCGACACATAGCTCACGCGTGTTTGTGCACATTCGACCCGCGACACTGGTCGTTCGTGCGCTCTGGGCTGCGTTTAGTATATAGATATATAAATGTATCGGGCCCACTGTCGCCAGTCGAAGACCGCTAGTTGCTGAGCGTCGTGGTGTAAAGAAGGTCAACCCTCTGTCGGACTAAGATCTCCACGTGTGTTCTGCTTATGATAGGCCATGGCCATCCGAGGCGTCCCAGTAAGGGCGTCGTCGTTAGGGCATCGAGACATTGATGATTCCTCCTCGGAGGAATGGCGGCGGACGCCTGCGGAAGCAACACTGAGGCGGATCCGCCCGCGGGAGCCAGCGGCAGGCCTGCGGAAGCTGGAGAACATAGAAGTTATCCTCCCAAGGGATAACACTTGGTTGATCCGGGACTTCCGATCTCGCCATATGCTGAGCACGCGAAGTGAGTGCGGGCCTGAATTCGCATCTGCCCACACACCCCTCGCCCTGAAGAAGAAGTCACAACTGAACCTCCGACGGTCCGCGCGGACTCCTTGGATCGGCGCTGGAGCCCCCCTGCAGGCGCCTCTGGCACCGCCCTTGGCGCGCTCCCCGCGCCAAGGAGGGGGGGGGGTCCAGCGCCGATCCAGGAAATCCGCGCGGAGCTCCCACAGTTTATGCTTCTGCAGTCCTATGGCTCGTCTAGTACACCCCCCCGTTCGCCTCGTTGCAGCACCCACCCAGGCCCACCCTCCACGGTGATACAAAAAATTGTTGTTGATTACATTTGTTTTTATCACATATGTTATTATTTTTATCACATTTGTCTTTTATCACAAGGTGTTCGAACCTGCGGCGAGCCAGCGCGGTCCCCACCCTTCCAGCGGGCGCTCACCAGACAGGGAGCAACGGGTGCAGGCGCACGCATCCAGGACGGCGGGGCCTGGAGCGGGAGGCTGCGCTGGGGCAGCTTGTATTCATTGCGGCGTTGACTCGCCCCCTCGCTACCCCCCGTCCCTGTCCTGCCCCCTCGCTACAGTCGGCCTGGATTAGTAGGTCGACCCTGCCAAATCAAGGGTACACTGGTGTCCTGTGTCTCGCGACCCACGCCTCCTACATTCCTGTGGCAATGTGGCCCTTGGAAGGGCCTTGTGTCCTCTCGCGCTTCCTGTCCAATCGCGTCCGACTGTACCCCCCTCCTCCCCATCCTCCTGGGCAGTCGGCGTGCAGGTCATGATGGACGTGTCGGCCTTCCGGCTCACCACACCGCTGCCGCCAGGGCTGGCGCTGGACCGCACATCAGGTGCCAAGTTCTGCAACTCGTCATGCTTTAAGCTGCATCCTCTGCATGTGATGACTCTATTCGTGGTTCTCCCCCTCCCCTTTCATCGGGCCGTCTGGCTCAGCGCAGCTTCTAGTTTGCTGCACGTCAGGTCAAGTGCGCTACAATCGAGTAAGCAGCTTTCGGGAGCGTAGGAGGCGGGATAATCAGAGGAGTTGTTTTGCAGTGGGCGGTATCGCGAGCTTGTCTAATGCAGTGTTTTGAGCAGACATATCTTGTCATCTCAGTGGGCATGATCAGAAGCTCAAGCTCACATCGTGGAATCAAGATAATGGAGCAGGTGTATATTTGTTTTGACGGGGTCAGATGCAGCTTCGATCCGTGGCCGGTCGTGCGGGACGCCCAGCTGCCAGGACGCCTCCCGAGGCAGGAAAACCGCCGAACACCGACGAAAACCACGTCCGGAGACCTCGAACCTCTAACCTCGAGCCCCCCTCCGCCTCCCCCCTGGGCGAGCCGCCAAGCTCGGTACTCGAAATCCGCCGCCTCGCCCGCGCCGAGCGAGGTGCGATCCATGGTACCGCGACGGCGGCGGCCCCGGCCTCCACCGTGGTCGTGGAGGCGGACGTGCAAGGTCCCGCGCCTCGCCGCCCGCGTTAGCCGTCCGGGGGTGGGCGGCTCGTAGAGGCCCGCTCTGGGTCTCCTCGTCGTCTCGGAGGCGGTGACGACGACAGGAGCGAATCGCCCAGGGGCGAGCAACACGTGTATACGACGAGCGAGCAACAACAGCAGCAGCAGCAACAACACCACCACAACCACCAACAACAACAGCAACAACAACAAACACACACACACACCCATGCCCACAAGGGGGGGGGGTCGGAGGGAGGAGGACCAGCCATGGGTATGGGGGTGCGGGTGGTCGGACCCTGGGGGGGGGGCGCCCTTTCGAGCGGGGAGACCCATCCGACAGCACGCGTACGTAGCCCTGTCCGCCCCCCCTATGGTTAAGTCGGGCGCGTCCCCCCTCTACAGGAGGAAAATTCAGCAATCGTCAAAGCATAGTCTGGGGACGATTTGTTGAGTTTTTTGTATGGAGCATTTGTTCGAGAATTGTGTGTGTGTGTGTGTGTGTGTGTGTGTGTGTGTGTGTGTGTGTGTGTGTGTGTGTGTGTGTGTGTGTGTGTGTGTGTGTGTGTTTGTTTTAAATTTCGGAGCGTGAATTACCTACCCCGCTTTCGCTTCCAGGCAAATCCAAGTCATACCACGCGCCTCGTCAAGCGGCCTGACCAGTACAGGCCGTAGTTTGGCATCGCTTGGTATCTCTTGGAAGCGAGGGTGGTCAAAAGCGAGGTAGGTTTGTTTTCCTCCGATTATTCTTTTAAAAAATTTTAAAAAATCGCCAAACATCGGCCTCTAGGGGGACAGGCCCGACCTAACCCTATGGTTATGTGTGGTGTGAGTGGCTTCCCTTCGTCTCGCACCGAGGGGTGCCCGTGGCCCGTCTCTGCGGCGCTGCTCCCGTGTGGCTTCGTGCGGCGCCCGTCCCATGGGCCAGTCGCCCCCATCCTCGCCTCCGCTCGTCGTCGTCCTCCTCCTCCCTCCTCCTCCTCCTCCTCCTCCTCCTCCTTCTCCTCCCCCTCCTCCTCCTCCTCTCCTCCTCCTCCTCCTCCTCCTCCTCCTCCTCCCCTCCTCCTCCTCCTCCCCTCCTCCCTCCTCCTCCTCTCCTCCTCCTCCTCCTCCTCCTCCTCCTCCTCCTCCCTTCTTCTCCTCCTCCTTCCTCCTCCTCCTCCTCCTCCTCCTCCTCCTCCACCTCCTCCTCTTCCCTCCCTCCCTCCCTCCGTCCCTTCCTCCCTCCTCCTCTTCCTCCACCTCCTCCTCCTCCGCCTACGTAGGCATACAGTCAAGACGCTGACACGCGTAGTGCTATCCAGCGTGCTTAACGTCGATGGTTCTGGCCAGAACTCTGGGCGCCTCCCAGATGGGGTCGGAGGATCGCGCCGCAGCGCCGGTGCATCGCCGACGTTGCCCGACGTGGGGCTCGACTTTCTCAACGCCGACATCGCCGATACATGGGCGATGCGGTGCACTCCGCCGACTCCAGCTACTCCGACCCCCATCTAGGAGGCCTTTGAGAAGGCACCCCGGGAGAGGTCGTGCAAGTAGCGATTCCCTCGGTGCTGTGAGGTAGTGGGGATTCGGGGTGACCGCGCGGGTTTGGGACTCGGGTCGCTTTCCGAGAATGTCTCGGGCGGCTGGGGCCTCCATGGTGCCGAAACGGTTTGGTGACGAACCGCGGTGAGGTCTTTGGGGGTGATCCGAGGTCACGGCACGGTCTGACTTGTCACCGATTTTGGACCCCGATTTTTCGCCCACCTCGTTGCCCTCGTCCTCGAAGAAAGGAAGTCGGCACTGGCATGACGTCTCGGAGCTCCTCGCGGATTTCCTGGATCGGCGCACGGTCAGCCTTGGCGGCGGTCCCATCGTGAAGCTCCTCGTCGTCCTCCGCTCTTCGCGGGCACCCACAAGGTGCGGTGACCACACTGCCAGCCTGGAGCATGTCCTTGTCCCTGTGTTGGTGTTGGGGCTCTTCGGATTCATTTCGAAACCGTTCCCTTTGCATCGACATATCTACATATGTATACTACATATCTACGTATATGTATATCACTATGCTTGTGCATGTGGATACGTATATGTGAATGGGCATGTGCATGTGAATGTACGTATATGCATGTGCATATGCATATGTGTATGTGTATATTCGTGTATGTGTGTGTTTGTGTATATGTATATGTATATGGTTACGTATGTATGTAGGTGTATGCCTGTGCGTATGTATTTATAAACGTATTTGTATACGTATATGAACATGTGTATGCGTGTGCGTGGGAATGTGCTTGTGCATAGTTAAGGATGCATGCGTGCACGCATCTGGATATGCGTGTCTGTATGTGTGTGCATGCATGCGTAGGTGTATGCACAGGTGTATGTCTGTGTGCAACTGTGTATGCATACGTGCGTGTATACGCAGATGTATATGGATATGTCGATGCATAGGTATATGCATGTGTCTATGTATATGTATATTCATAGGTAAGGGGTATATGTATGTGGTTATGTACCTGTATGTGTCGGCGTACACGTGTACGCATGTGTGTACGGCTATGCATATGTATATGGTTATGCATCTGCATGTGTATATGCATGTGTGCATGTGCCTGTATCTGTATATGCATATGCATGTGTATGTGTATGTATATGTGTTGTGTATATATGTATGTTTATGCATACGTATATGCATATGCATTTGCATGTGTATATGCATGTGTATATATGCAGATGTACCTGGATGTATGTATGTATATGTATGCGTATATATGTATGTGCGTACGGTTATGCGTATATGGGTATGTATATGTGTATATATGTATAGGGAAAGCAAATGCATGTGTAAACATTTATTTGTGCATGCGCATGTGTGCATGCGTCTATGAATCGGTAGGTGTGTGTATGTATATATGCGTGCGTATGCTCATTCGCGTGAATATGTTTATGTAAATAAATAAGCATATGCAAAATACATATTTATGTGTAGATGTGTCTGTATAGGTGTATACACATGTGTATGTATACATATTTATATGTGTATATATATATATACATATATGTATATGAAGTCCATGGGGTTCAGCGGGGCGGCGTCCGGTGGCGCGCTGGGGTCTGGCGCTCACAGCTACGGTCGTTGACCCCGAGCCGTTTCTCGCCGGCTCTTTCCCTTGCAGAGTCCCCCATATTTTTAGCAGAAGGGGCCACAGTGCCCGACCCTGGCGAAGCTGCGTCCTCGTCGAATTCCAGCAAGCTGCAGGGAGCGATCGACGACCAAATGGAAATCGATGAGTCTGGCTTTTTGAGGCCCTCTTGGGCGGTCTGAAGAGCATTTCGCGCCGACTGGGAACCCTCGTGGGCAGACTCTGGATTCTTGGGCCGCAGTCGTCTTGGAGGCCGCTTGGGCCCCGCCTGGGCCCCTCTTGGGGCTCTCTTGGGCGCCTCTCGGGCCGCCTTGGCGCGATCCTGGAGGCCTCTGGGGCCGTCGTGGGGGCCGTGACGATCGAGAACGCGAGAACGCCAGACTCCTCAGAATACCGTGGGACAGCTAAGATGTTCGCACCCTTGGAGCCTCCGAGGCTGCCCCCCTTGGAGGCGTCTGTGGGGCCTCTGGTCGTAGAGAGTACAAGAAAACCCTGGCCCTGACAACACGGTGAAGACGTGGCCTCACCGAGGCACCCGTCTCTGCATCAGGGATCATGGACCTGGGCGGTCTGCTTGGACACGCGTGCAGCACAAGGAGCCCCTATCCCTAATGTCTTTGGCCCTCCGAACTTGGTCCCCTCCCGAAGGATTAGGGGCCCTTGCGACACCCGCTATTCCAAGACGTCATTGATGATGGAACTAGACAGGTTTTTTTTCGTCCACAAGCCCGGTTGTACCTGGTGTCGATCGGTTGGGGAGTTTATCATCAGCTGTGGGTGGTGCCAGCTTTGTGGACTAGTTCATGTTTTTGGCCCCCCCAGCTTAGGTCCCCTCCCGAAGGATTCGGGGCCATTCTTTTTGGTTGATTGCCCGGGGGCCGTCTGGAGCGCACCCCGGGGCCGCACGAGGGACGTCCCTCGGGACACCTCCGGCGGGCCGCGCGGGGGCACTCGCAGAGGGCGCTCATGGGGCCGTCTTGGGGGGAGGGGGCTCTCGCGGAGGCACTCCCGTGCCGCTTCGGGGCTCCTCCTCCTCCTCCTCCCTTCTCCTCCCTCCTCTTCCTCCTCCTCCCTTCTCCTCCCTCCTCTTCCTCCTCCTCCTCCTCCTCCTCCTCCTCCTCCTCCTCCTCCTCCATGGGGGCCTCGGGGAGCCCGGGGGCCCTGGCCAACCTGCAAAGCATCGTTCGGATTGATTGCGAAGGCCTCGCGGCCGGTGCCGCCGACCCCGAAGGGGAACGCCGACGACAACGGCGGCGGCGGCGGCGACGACGACGACGAGGCCGACGTGTGTCAGTGTTCTGGGGCCGTCTTGGGGGACGGGGGGCCCTCCAGTGCCGTCTCGGGGCTCCCAAGGGGCCTGGGGGAACCCGGGGCCCCTGCGGGCAATACTTCTGCTGTCCATGTCCACTGCAGTATGGAGGTTCGGGCCCCCTTCCCCCGAAACCCGAGGCGCACTGCATACTGATAAATTGGCCCACCAGAGGCGCGATGATTGTCCATACCGTTCCAAGAAAGTCCAAGACGCACTGGATATGGATGTACATCTTGCCCGCAGCCCTTGCCAGCCTGCAAAGCATATTTCGGATCTATTTGAGTGGATGTGGATATACATACCCGACCTTGAGGATCCCCTCAGATTCTGATGGCGCATCCCTCGGATTGTCCTCGCCTCTGAGCTTGTCAATCCTAGGGGTAGGATGAGCTCGAGGCCGGTTACCACACCGTGTGGGGAGTCAGTCGGGATTCGGGGCGGCCGCACGGGTTCAACCAAACTGTGAGTTCGTTCTGCTTTCTTTCTTGGGGCCACCAAACTCGTTGCGCGATACCCAACCCAGAGCCACACCTCGAGGGCGGTGTTGGAGGTCGCCCCGGCAATCGCGGCGGCCGCAAATCGGGGCAATGTTTTCGTCAAGGAGTGGCATGCCCCTCCACAGCCCCCCCCTCCGTCCTGCGTTGTACACGTTGCGAACGATTTAAGCTGTAGCAACAGATAGTTGGCAAGTCTTGCCCGACATGGGCGTTCTTGATTTCTCGTGTAGAGACTGACTATCGACTATGACGCAACAACCGACGGTGCGGTGACCAGCTCATTATTTTGGCAATGTCGTGAATCGTTTTCGTACACTGTACGATTCCGTCACGTTTTCGCTCTGGGGGCCATCACACGCCAATCGTGACGTCGGAATTGTGTCAAAGAGTTGTGTCGGGTAGTCGGTTGTTTTTTCTCTTCGAAGCGCAATGCGCACATGACAACGCACGCAAACACGACACGAACGCGCAAAACGAAAAACGACACGAACATGCAAACACTGTATTAGTCAACCCCTGTCCGAAGCTCCTCTTCCTCCTCCTCTCGGGGGGCCCCAAACGGTGCGGTGACAAACACCGTGCGTCAGAGGCTGCTACTCCTGCCTCGCTTCTTACCTCCTTGGTTCTCCTGGGTGTCCCTCGTGGCCCTCGCCAGATTCGCCTCGCAGCTCTGATCAGAGCGCACCCCGGGAGAGGTCCAGCGAATAGCGGTATCGGTACCTTTTGGTTCCCCCAGTGCGGTGAGTCAGTGGGGATTTGGAGTTGCCATACGGTGACCGGATTTGCGTAGCTCTCCCAGGATGCTTCGGGCGATTGGGGCCTCCATGGTCCCAAGACGGTACGATGATGGACAGTTCGATGAGGTCTTTGGGCACTCCGAGGTCACGGCATTGTCTGTCACCTGTCCTCGCACCGATTGGACCCCGAATCCTCACCCACCTTTTCGTCCTCCCTGCCCTCGAAGAAAAGAAGTCGGCATTGACATGAAGCCTAGGAGCTCCGCGCGGATTTCTCGGATTGGATCGGCGCATGACCATACTTGGCGGCGCCTTCGGCGCCGCACGCACCTGGCGCGCTCCGCGCGCCAGGGACGGGGGCCCAGCGCCGATCTAAGACATCCACGGGGACCACAAAGTTTATGTGTCTGCTTGTTCCTTCTTTGATCCAGGCCCGATCCAAAGCTTCTTGTCGTCCTCTCCATGCCGACCTCGTTTTCCTCATCCTTCTCCTCCTCCTCCTCCTCCTCCTCCTCCTCCTCCTCCTCCTCATCATCATCATCATCCTCGTTTTCCTTCTCTTCTCTGTATTCTGCGTGCTCGGGGGGTAGGCCCCGAAGCCTAGTTGGCCGTTCGGGTTGGCTGGATGACCAACATGGTGGCTATTAGTCCGATCCTACTACCCTCGTCAAAATTAACCTCCAAAATTGCGACCACGCCCCTGCGATGCCGGCGCGCCCTTCAATGTCGATAGACGCCCCTCCAATGGCGGGGCCAGGGCAAAAGTGGTCTGACCGGGAACGACTCGGAAGTTCGATGATGACTGACATTGGAGGGGCGGCGAATACAAGTACTTTGCAATCATCGCTACTCTGTCCATTATCACCCCACAGACAGTTCAGCCACGTAAGACATGTTTGAGATTAAGTTTGACGAGGGTTGTAGGGTGGTAGTTGCCGTTTCGGCATTCGTGTCCCGTGAGCTGTTTGAATCTTCAAGTCTAAAGAATACGTATCGTTGATCCCCCCTCTGGTGCACCCTATGTTTCTCCCAACCATCCTGTGGTGGTGGGTCCTCGGTTTGAAGAGACAGCGCCCCGCGTCCATTCCTCACTCACTCCTCCTCACCCTCCCCCTTCCTCCCATAGCTGCCCCCGCTCTCTGCATGTCCACCATTTCGGCACATCCCTCACACGCTTCGTGGCCCCAAAGGGAGCTCCACCGAAGGCCCCAGCGGCAGGTTCCGCATGCGTCCCCCCGCCCATTTTGGCACATCCCTCACGAGGTTCGTGGCCCCATAGGGAGCTCCACTGAGGGCCCCAGTGGGCATGCGTCCCCCTGCCAATTTCGGCACACCAGTCACGAGGATCGCGGCCTCATAGGAAGCTCCAGCTGGGTGTGGGGACATCGGCCCCTTATCATATAGTTTCCCCATGAGGGGTGGCATCATGATGGATGCGTGTGGCACGTTGAGCATGACACATCAGGGTAACGTGATTGGTGCCGTTGTGTTTCCTGCTATGTTTCTCCTCCTTTGCTGTTCAAAGGCCTTGTAGAGACGATCGTTGAGACACGTGGCCTGCATTTGGTTTCGTGGTCGCCCTTGTGATGGTTGTTTTTGTTTCGTGCTTTGCCGATCGGCGCCCTCGCACCCCCCCTCTCCCCCTCATGGGGTGGGTCTTGGCCGTTTTTGGCGCCCGTTTCGGGCAGGTGGGGCCCCCCCAGCAGAAACGCATCCAGCACATGTCCCAGAGCCGGCCCCCTCCCCCTCCTCTTCCCCTTCCGCCCAGGATCGAAGCGCCGAAGCCGACAACGTTCGCTCTCCTTCTGCTGTGCTGCACCCGACGAGGCTCGGGCGGTGTGCCGACGCGCCAGCAGACGCCCCAGAGGAGAGCCTGGGGCCCGTTCGCGGCCCCGCCGCCCAACAGGGGCAGGGCGACTGCCATCGGCGAGACACCACCATCGGCGGCGAGCGAGGGGGGGGGGAAATGACGAACGAGGAGAAGGCCTTCTCAGAAGGCGGCGGGGCTCCTCAGAAGGCCTCGCGCCTTCCGAGAGGTCTCTTCTGTCTCGGGGGAAGGCGCAGGAAGCTTCTCAGAAGGCCGAGGGGGCTTCCGAAAATCCTGAGCAGGGCCGCCCCTTCTCACGTCCGCCCCTCGCTCGCCGCCGATACAAGACACCTGCGTTGGCAGTGGGGGTTTTCACAAGGCCGCCCAGCCTGCTCCAGTCACTGGCATCGGCTGCAGTAGCAGCAGGGACAACCGTAGAGGCGAAGCCTGGCAGCTGGCAGAAACGGAGGCGAGGAGAGCAGCAGCGCGGCGTGGGCAGGCACGGGCTGTGGACCAGCAGCAGCAGCAGGCAAGGATTTGAGAGAGCAGCGCGGGGAGAGACACGGAGGCAGAGATGGGTGGGCATCCGGCATGTTCTGAGGAGTAGGAGCGGCTGAGCACGCTGCACCGCGGCACTTGGTCTGGCCTCCAGGTGGCGGCGCGATGCGGGCGACCATCGACATGGAGGTGATCGACTTCACTCGCGGCGGCTACGTTATGGGCCACATGTCGGAGGTCGAGAAGGGCAGGTGCTCGGGGTGAAGTGCCAGATGCCCTGATCTCTCATTCTCGGCCTTGGATATGCATCAACTCGGGTCCGTCCGTCAGACTAAATGGGAGTGATGCTCCACGGGTAGGGATGCGCTAATTTTAGATATGTGAGTTGAGAGTTGAGCCTGTCGCGTTTAGAATCGTGTATGATAACCCCATCCTGAACACAGCTTCTTCTACAGATCGCGTTGTTCGAAGAGCCTGGTGTCTTTCCGAAGCATGTCAGCGTCTATGTGTGCAGTCGTCTCGGCGCCGCCGCTGCTGCTGCTGCTGCTGCTGGTCATCCTCTACTGTCCCAGCCCTCTCTGTACAGTCCTCCGCAGGCAGGCTTGGGTGGTGGGAGAGCAGTCGGACAGAGGCGGCGCGGGGTCTCGGCCCCCCCCGCGCCTTTGGTGGCCCTGCCGAGGTTCATGATGCTGCTCTACACTCCAGGCGCTCGCCGTCGGCGCGCTCCCCCTGCGGCACTGACGAGCGCGTCGCTCAGGCCCCCAGAGACCTGGACACAGACTGACCAGGACATTGGCAAGTCGTGGGAACGGCACCCCTTCCTGCCAAGTCAGGTGCGGTCGTCCAGTGCAGTTTTTTTCCTGCTGCGCTGCAGGATTCGGGTCCTTGTCCGGGTCGATGGGGGGGGGGGTCGCGGGTTTTTAGGCCCCGTGTCTGACGTCTGGGTTGAATCCGGGAGCGTTGCAGAGCCGTTCCTTCTCGTGTCGCACTCAGCGAACAAAATTGCTTCGAGGGGTGCTGGCTGTCCTGGTCTGGCGCGTGTCCGGGTTTGCGGGGCCCCGAGCCGCAGCCGCTGGCACGCTCGCCGTGGAGCACGCGGGTCCCGAGGAGGCGGGGTCCGGAGGTCTTGTTCCTCCGCGCTCGGGCCCTGGAGGCCCTTCACGGGCCCCGGGGGGCCGTCGAGCAACGATCCGGGATGCAGAGGCGGTCCCGGGGGAAGCCCCGCGGCCCAGGGCTCGTATCCCTCAGGGCCCGCTGGTTCCGCGCCGTCACAGCATTCGATGATCGACGTGGAGGGGGGCGGGGCAGTGCCTACAGTCAAGACGCCGACATGCGGACCGCTTTGGTTCGGCAGGGGCCCGCTTTGCGTTGGGTCTTTCCGTGGTTGTTCCTCTAGCCTCCGCGTGCACGCAGGCTCTCTGGGTGCCAAACGGGGGCGTCGTTCCTTCTTTCGCGTCGTCCCTTTCTTGCAGCAGCTCGACGGTCCTTCGGTCCAGCGGGCGAAGAGCAGTGTGGTATCAGCATGTTTGCCGCGGGGGATGCCAGGGTGACTGGAAAGTTTGTACCCCGTGGCGGTGCGCACGTCTATCGTCTCTCCAGCCGCCCTGGGACAGGTGTCTCCAGCGGCGGAGGAGTTTACAAGCCATACCGTCCTTCGTCCGCTCGTCCTTCCTTCGCTGCCCCTGCGCCTCGTGGCCTGGGCTGGAGCGCTGCCCCCCCGCCCGCGCACGCGAGGGTGACGGCGCGCCGCGCTTCGCACGTCGCGGCGCCCGGAGGAGGAGTAGGAGGATGAGGAGGAAGAGGAGGAGGCGGAGGAGGAGGAGGAGGAGGAGGAGGAGGAGGAGGAGGAGGGTACCTAAGTCGCCGGAGGCATTCAGAGACCCCCGGGAGGCGCACGATGGGCCGGAGGTGTCAACGAGTCTGCGGCGGCTCGAGCGGCCCTCGGTCGACCCCCGCTTCTCCTCGAGGCCTCCCGGGCTCCCGGGCGGCGCGGGCCCCTGTTTCGCCGATGGCATTTGTTTGGGGGGAGTGTGCCTCCTGGGAAAGGGAGGAGGAGGAGGAGGAGGAGGAGGAGGAGGAGGAGGAGGAGGAGGAGGAGGAGGAGAGGAGGAGGAGGAGGAGGAGAGGAGGAGGAGGAGGAGGAGGAGGAGGAGGAGGAGAGGAGGGAGGGAGGGAGGGAGGGAGGGAGGAGGGAGGGAGGAGGAGGGAGGGAGGGAGGGGAGGGAGGAGGAGGGAGGGAGGGAGGGAGGGAGGGAGGGAGGGAGGGAGGGAGGAGGGAGGGAGGGAGGAGGAGGAGGAGGAGGAGCAGGAGGAGTGCCCCGAGGCCCCGCTCGCCGCAGCGGCCGAGGGCCCCCCTCTGCCGACGTCTCGCCTGCGGGGGCCGGGGAGCGCTGGCCCCTCGGGCCGCTGCGCCTGCAGCCGGCGCCCGCCTCTCAGCCCTCTCCTCCTCCTCCTCCTCCTCCTCCTCCTCCTCCTCCTCCTCCTCCTCCTCCCTCCCTCCTCCTGCTCTTCCCGCCAGCCCCCTCTCCCAGGGCACCCTCGCTCCTCTCTTCCAGTCCTCCTCTTTCGCCTTCATCTCTTCCCGATGCGCTCCTCCTCCGTAGCACTGATCGCTCCTCCTCTCGCTCCTCCTCTCGCTCCTCCTCCCCCCCCTCCTCCCGCTCCTCGTCCCCCTCCTCCCGGAGGAGGGCCAGCTGAGACATCGGTGGCCCTCCTCTCGTCCGGGAGGGTGCCGGGTGCCGATGATGGCTCGGCTGGCTCCCTTCCGATCCTCGCCCCTCCTCCGACCCATGCATGTGCTCCTCCCTCTCCCCCCTCCTGCCTCCCAGTCCCCTCCGCCCCGTCGTATGTCGTGTCGTCGCCGACGCCGCCGTCTCGTCCGCCCCCGTCGCCGTCGTCGCCGGCGGCTGCCTGCTTTTCCCTCTGCCTGCACCTCGTGCCCCTATCCGCGGAGGCCCGCGCGAGGCCGACCACTGGAGCCCCAGGAAAAGCCCCCCTCGCAGCGAGCCGCGCTGCTCTCCGGCCCCGCCTCGGCGAACTCTCTCCTCCTCCTCCTCCTCCTCCTCCTCCTCCTCCTCCTCCTCCTCCTCCTCCTCCTCCTCCTCCTCCTCCTCCTCCTCCGCCTCTCTCTCGCGCCGGCGCCTGCCGTGCCCCGTGGCTGCACTGGGCCGTCGCGCGCTGCCTGCCCCGGGCGGCGCAGCAGCGGCCCGCCCTCAAGGCCGCCATATCTCCCCCGCGCGGGAGCTGCCCGCAGCCCGCGGAGGGCTACGGCGGCGACGACGCCGGCGGCGGTGGCGGCGGTGGCGGCGGCGGTGGCCGCGGCGCAGCAGTTCCACAGCGTCGGGGCTGCCGTGGACCGGCTTTATGTCGGGCGTGTCCCCCTACAGGGGGATTTTCGACGAAAAATAAAATTTACCCCGGCAAAGCAACCTAACAGCGATGTGTATAAGCATATCTGGAAGCATCCCCCTTAAGATTCAGGTGAGGATCCAGTTGTAGAATTCTGCTGTTCTCGCAGTCGCAGTCGCATTCGCAATGACAGTCGCAGTGGCAACGGCCTTACGATCAAATGGAATCAGGTATCCATAGGAAATTTTAGGAATCCTTAGAAATCCTGATTCCTAGGGATCCCTCAGGATTCCTGGGGAATCCTAAGGATTCCAAAGGATTCGCCTGCCTCGACCTCAGCCTCAGTCTGCCTCAGCCTCAGCCTGCCTCAGCCTCAGCCTCAGCCTGTCTCAGCCTCAGCCTGCCTCAGCATCAGCCTCAGCCTCAGCTTCAGCCTGCCTCGGCTTGCCTCGGCCTCAGCCTCAGCCTGCCTCAGCCTCAGCCTCAGCCTGCCTCAGCCGCAGCCTGCCTCAGCCTCAGCCTCAGCCTGCCCCAGCCGCAGCTTGCCTCAGCCTCAGCCACAGCCTCAGCCGCAGCCTCAGCCTGCCTCAGTTTCAGCCTCAGCCTCAGCCTGCCTCGGCTTGCCTCAGCCTCGGCCTCAGCCTCAGCCTGCCTCGGCCTCAGCCTCAGCCTCAGCCTGCCTCAGCCTCAGCGTCAGCCTCTCAGCCTCAGCCTGGATCAGCCTCAGCCTCAGCCTCAGCCTCAGCCTGCCGCAGCCTCAGCCTCACCCTGCCTCAGCCTCAGCCTCAGCCTGCATCAGCCTCAGCTTCAGCCTGCCTCAGCCTCAGCGTCAGCCTCTCAGCCTCAGCCACTGTCTCAGCTTCAGCCTCAGCCTGCCTCAGCTTCAGCCTCAGCCTCAGCCTGCCTCGGCTTGCCTCAGCCTCAGCCTCAGCCTGCCTTTGCCTCAGCCTCAGCCTCAGCCTGCCTCAGCCTCAGCGTCAGCCTCTCAGCCTCAGCCTGCATCAGCCTCAGCCTCAGCCTCAGCCTGCCTCAGCGTCAGCCTCAGCCTCCCTCGGCTTGCCTCGGCCTCAGCCTCAGTTTGCCTCGGCCTCAGCCTCAGCCTCAGCCTGCCTCAGCCTCAGCCTCAGCCTGCCTCTCAGCCGCAGCCTGCCTCAGCCTCAGCCTGCCTCAGCCGCAGCTTGCCTCAGCCTCAGCCACAGCCTCAGCCTCAGCCTACCTCGGCTTGCCTCAGCCTCAGCCTCAGCCTGCCTCGGCTTGCCTCAGCATCAGCCTCAGCCTGCCTCAGCCTGCCTCAGCCTCAGCGTCAGCCTCAGCCTGCCTCAGCCTCAGCGTCAGCCTCTCAGCCTCAGCCTGCATCAGCCTCAGCCTCAGCCTCAGCCCGCCTCAGCCTCAGTCTCACCCTGCCTCAGCCTCAGCCTGCATCAGCCTCAACTTCAGCCTGCCTCGGCCTCAGCCTGCGTCAGCCTCAGCCTCAGCCTGCCTCAACCTCAGCCTGCCTCAGCCTCAGCCTCAGCCTGCCTCGGCGTGCCTCAGCCTCAGCCTCAGCCTGCCTCGGCCTCAGCCTGCCTCGGCCTCAGCCTGATTCAGTTCGGGCATTCAAAATATGGCACAGGACTGGTGTTCTGGGAACACGGAGAACACGAAGTGGCCTACAGTTGGCTCCAGGCAATCAAGATATGGTACAGGAGCGGTGTTCCGGGAACACGGAGAACACGAAGTGGCCTACAGTTGGCTCCGGGCAGTCAATGTGGCCTGGGAATTGTGTTCTGGGAACACGAAGAACACGAAGTGGCCTACAGCTGGCTCCGGGCATTCAAGATGTGGCGTGGGAATGGTGTTCTGGGAAGACGAAGAACACAAAGTGGCGTACAGTTGGCTCGGGGCATTCAAAATGTGGCCTGGGAATGATGTTCTGGGAACGCGAAGAACACGAAGTGGCCTACAGCTGGCTCCGGACATTCAAAATGTGGCTTGGGAATGGTGTTCTGGGAACACGAAGAACACGAAGTGGCCTACAGCTGGCTCCGGGGAATGGTGTTCAAAAATGTGGCCTACAGTGGCCTACAGTGGCATTCAAAATGTGGCCTGGGAATGGTGTTCTGGGAATGGGTCCCTAAGGATTCGCAAGAATTCTTAAGGATTCCTAAGGATTCCTGGGGCTGCACTTTTGTCCGGTTCCTTGTCCGGATCCCGCCCAGACCCCCCTGGGCGTCAAGATGCTCTCTTTTGATCCCACTAGAAACCTATCAGCAAAAGCTGTTAGGTAAATGCCCAAACTCGAGGGTTTTCACGTGTCGGGCCCTGGGAGACACTCGCCCGACACTGTTTCGAGACTTTTTCGACACTCTTCCACACTCATCCGAGGTACGATGGGAGCAACATAACTCCATGAGTCAAGGCGCGTGGATTGGTGACGGGTCGCGTTTGATGCGAAATCTGCACGCTCCGTCGCCAGCTGCGGCGGCATCGGTGCCAGGTTCCGGGGGGGGCTCTTCCCGTTTCGTGGGTCCGGCGCCCACGCGCCAGATCCACGGAGCCCTCATCCGTGTTAGCGTGCGCCCAAAAGGGGAGGGGAGGGACGAGGATGGGGAGAAAGCCAGGCAAGAGGAGGAGGAGGAGTTGGACGAGAGGCAGCATGCGCTTCACATCGCCACCGAACAGTGCAGTGGATGCGCTGGGCGCAGCGTCGAAAATCCGTCGGAAATTTGCGAGAGAGGGCTCAGGGAGAGATTGAGAGCAGGTCCTCTCGTGGAGGTCGCAGTCCTTGCTTCCAGCGTTGGCCCTCTCCCCAGAATCGCCGACCTCCCTCTGCGTCGATGCGCGCTGCCTGCCCACGCTGCGGCCGTGCCCGCCAGACGCTGACGAGAAGATCGGTGGCGCGGAGGGGCCCTACCTTCCGCTTGGCTATGCCATGCCGGGGTACTCCGTCGACTGCGTGGCCGCTCCTCCGATCCTGCCGGGCTTCTGCGGCGTGGACCTGTCCTCCGCGGCGCAGAAGGCATTTCCCGGTGCTTCAGGCTGCTGCCGGCGCTCTCCTCGCGCTCTGAGGAGGGGAAGGGGGAGGAGGGGAAGAAGGAGGAGGAGGAGGAGGAGGAGGAGGAGGAGGAGGTGGAGGAGGAGGAGGGAGGAGGAGGGAGGAGGGGAGGGAGGAGGAGGAGGTTAGAGGAGAGAGGAGGAATTGGAGGAGGAGGAGGAGGAGGAGGAGGGAGGAGGAGGAGGAGGAGGGGGGGGGAGGGGGAGGGGAGGAGGAGGAGGAGGAGGAGGAGGAGGAGGAGGAGGAGGAGGAGGAGGAGGAGGAGGAGGAGGTTGGAGGAGGAGAAGGAGGAGTTGGAGGAGAGAAGCGGAGGAGGAGGAGGAGGAGGAGGAGGAGGAGGAGGAGGAGGGAGGAGGAGGAAGGCCACCCGGGGGGCCACGTCCGAAGGGGGGGCCTCCCCGCCCTCCCTCTCTATATCGGGGGTGGACAGACCTCCTACCCTGACACGTCGATCAGTGAATTGTCTGTTCTCGGTTCTCGAGAGGGCGCCGCGGCCGTCATTTTCCAGGCTTGCGCCCGCCAGGTTTTGGCCCGAGGTCGTTTTCACCAAACCACGTTTTACGAAAGGGAGGTCCGTCCATCCCCGACTATAGTCGGCCCAGACTAGTAGGTCGCCCCTGCCAAGTCAAGGGTACCCTTGTGTCCTGTGTTTCGCGACCCATGTTTCCTACACTCCTGTGGCAATGTGGCCCTCGGAGGGGTCTTGTGTCCTCTCGCGTGTCCTGTCCAATCGAGTCCGACTGTAGGGGGACCCAACATGACATAAACATATAATCTCGGATGTCCACGCGGATATTTCGGAGCCGCGCTGGACCCCTCTGGCGGCGCCTCCGGCGCCGCCCCTGGGGCGCTCCGCGCGCCAGAGAGAGGGGTACAGCGCAGATCCACGAAATCCGCGCAGACTTCCGTTGTTTTAATGTTTATGTAATTTTTCGTTCCTCTACCCTCAGCATCCATGCTTTGCGACCCCGTGCGGATCGAGCCGCGGACTGATCGATGCTCGATGCCTTAGTCACGGCGTGCGGTCGCGGGTGCTGGCTAGCTTCGGGGAGTGCCAGCTCCACCGTGTTCGACAACTGTTTCCGATGAGGGGCGCGAACTTTGGCGGAAGCCTCCCCCGACGACGACAGGCCAGGCGCCTCCCTGGCTGTGACTCGTAGAGCTTCCCTAAGAGCGTTAGCGGCGAAGCTAGAAGAGTAATTCCGGCGCGCTGTGGGGCTAGTTGGCAACAAAAATCTCGACGGAAGTTTTGCATAATTTTGCTCGGTTTAAATTTGATTTCTCGAAATTTGAACACTCATTAGAGCTCTAGTATCTTTGTCCCCCCATATTCGATCTTATTTCCGCTCGCCATCTTAATTTCAGGTCGATCGGGTACCTACTACTGTCAAAAAGCATGTGGGCGGGATCGGTTGTTCGGCTCATCTTGACAGGTGCTGTCGGTTTTTGAACTTAACTCGAGCTGTAGGAGAGCTACAGAGCTGGCAGGCACAACTAATCCATCTAGAATCATCAAGCGCGTTCGTCTCAAGTATCCAGATGTCCGAACTCGGTGTGCTACCAGAACTGGGCCCGCATAACTACGGGCCTATCTGCTTATATCCTTGGAGATGATGATGATGAGTTGCTTGATCTAACTCGAGCTGCAGATGAGCTACAGAGCTGTTTGGCACTGCAATCGAATGGAAATCATCAGAAGCGCTAGTTTAAAGTCTCTAGATGCCCGAACTCGGTCTGCTACCAGAGCTGGGTCCGACAAGCTACTCGTGCCCTGCATTTTTTCGATATGCTGATGGTTTTCTTGACTGAACTCGAGCGCAATTGAAATTATTCGATTAGAATCGCAAGTCTAGAGGATCTAGATGCCCGAACTCGGTCTGCTACCAGGTTTGGGTTCGAACAACTATTTGTATTCTGCTATTTTTTAGAGAAATGATGGTGACTATCTTGGTATTCCTCGGGTTTCAGATACGCTACATAGCACTTCGTCACATTGATCGTAAGGAAATCATCAGGAGCGCTAGTCTCATTTATGTAGATGCCCGATCTGGGTCTGCTACCTGAGCTGGGTCCGCAAAACTATTCGTGTTCCGATGTTTTGCAGATGTGGTGATGGTTTTCTTGACCGAACTCGAGCTGCAGATAAGCAACACAGTTGTTTGTCACAGCAATCGGAAGGAAACCATTATAATCGCGAGTCTAAAGTATCTAGGTGCCCAAAGTCGGTCTGCTCCCAGAGTTGGAACTCAAAAACTATTCGTACTCTATTAATTTTTCCAGAGATAACGATGCCTTTCTTGATCCTCCCCTCCTTTTCTCCCGCTTCTTACTTCTTCTCTCCCTCATTCTCCTCCAGTCCTCCTCCATGACACCCTCGCGCGCGCGGTATGCGAGATTGCCACGCCCGCATTGCACGAGCAAGCTCTACGAGTTCCCGGCGGTAACCAAGGTTGACGGTTTACTGCCGGCTCCCAGTCTGTGGCGGGATGTGTGCAGCTCGAGATTCGCAGCCCTGGCCCTGGCGGAGCAAGACCGCACGGTGAGAGACACGGTTGCGTGCGATGAGTGGCGCGCTGCTTTTGACGAGTGCCCCACCGTGGCCGGACCTTAACTTGGGAAGTTCATCACAATTGTCTGACCCCGGAGCGGCGCTATACGGGCTCCCAAATGGCAAATGGGTCATCGCTTCCCTGCTCGTGTTGCGTGCGTCATCTCTCGGGCCCTCTTGGAGCCCAGCCAGCGGAGCGGTGCGACACGGGCTCCCAAACGGGGCCCCGCCTCCGCGGTTGTCCGCGGCGCATCAGCAGTAGCCAGAACAGTCATGTGCAGTCTGGGAGGGACAGGGGAGGCTGCCCCCGAAGGCTTCCGGAGGACCCATCAGAGCCACATGCGTCCAAACATGTGGGTCCTCATGGTGTTGCTCCTCCTCGCCAACCTCCTCGTCCTCCCCCTCCCCCTTCTCGGAGGGGGGGGAGAAGAATGAACCCAGGCACTGGCAAGTCATCCTCAAGGAGGTGGCCGGCTTGTCGCCTTGTGGTTGGTCTTTGGAGGCCGATGCCAGGCTTCTGGGCGAGTGTCTGGGACCGTTGGCGAGGTGATCGGGGGTCCCGCCAATAGGGTAACCCTACGCCGGTGAGAATCGCACCCTGGGGATCATAAGATTCGTGGTCCTGGGATGATAGCAACAATTTGCCCCCGAGATGCTGATGGTGGGATGTTTGGATGGGTCTTGAATGACGGAAGAAGGGGAGGGGAAGCTCGAAGCATTGAGCTTTCGCTTGGCACATTTTCGCAAAGCTAACACGTTCGCGACAGTGCTTGATACAAACCAAGCGTTTTGCTGGGCATCCTCGAAAAGCTGCTGGTCACGAACTCAGCGAATCTTCGAAAGTTTGCGTTTCGCTTGATACCTCCTCACGAAATTGATACAGTCAACCCGCGTAGTAAGGATGGGCAACCTGCCCAAGGGTATATTTGCATCCTTGCCTCGTCGGTCCTTTTTGGCCATTTTCGTCGGCCGCGCCCCGCTCGAGAAGCTTCGACATGGGCGTTCAAGGCCCTTGCATTTTGATCGTGCATCCTCATGATACGGGCCGACTGTAAAAAGGATTACTCATGGTGCTATGCATGCTATGATGATCAGAGCGACGATGCGAACATGGGGGGTGATCATAAAGTTCGCCCAACGTTTGCCCCCCCGCGCCTCTTGTGGCAAGTTGAACCCACATAAACCCCGTGGATAATGAGATAGCGAGGCTGAAAAGGGGTGGGTCACCTTTTATTGTCCGCAGCATGCGGTTAAATCTCTCCAGTGCGTTCCAAAACGTTCTCAGGTCGTTCTGGAGTGCTCTGGAACGGCCGCGGCGCCCAGTATGGACATTCTCCAGAGCCGCCGATGTCAAGGTACCCCCATCCGATGCTGTCCAGTTCCTGGTGTCTTTTAGATTGACCGACTGATGACAATCGGTCCATCGAGGATCGTCATCGTGCGTCGTCGTCGGGGATCGTCGTGCGCCGTCGCCGTCGTGGGCCGATCGATCGAGGTTCCTCGTTTTCGTCGTCGTCGTCGCCCGTCATCGTCGATCGATAGATGATCCATGATTGCACATGGCAGTCTTGGACGTCTTTTGACTGCCTGGCGGTCCGATGTTGTCCTCTTCTGTAGCTTCGTCTTAGGGGGCGGAGGCACTGGAGCTAGGGGGCGGATTGCTGCCTCCTGTGGCAAGCACATCCCTCCCTCCCTCCCTCGCTTGTGGCACACACACACGCCAAAAGACACTGCGTGCTGGTCGCGGCACTGGCGATCGAGCGGCGCGGTCGCTACCTACGCGGGGCCGCTGCAAGGCGAACTTCACACTAGCACGGGAAGCTGGGGGAGGAGGGCGGCCGCGGAGGGGGGGAAGAGAAGGGCGGCGGCCCACTCAGATCGTGAACGCCTCCGTGTGCTGCGTTGCGCCCCCAGGCCCCCCTGGTAGGCGTCGCCACAGGTACATGTTTTGTCGTCACGGCCACGCGTGCGGCGGGGCGGCGTAGGGCAAGTCCGCGCGAAGACGAGGCAATATGCGGGCCAGTTCAGTTCACGCAGCGCGGAGAAGCTGGATCCGCCCACAGGGTTTCAGACAGCAACGCTCGCGATGGGGGCAGTCGCGAGGGGGACGCGGGCAGGGAAAAGAGTGGGTGTGTGGGGGGGGAAAGACGGGGCAGAGGGAACGGGAGTAGTGCGACAGTGACGGGCAGGAGCCAGCAAGCGTGGCGCCGTGGGGCCGGTTATAGCAGCAAGCGACCAGGAGGAGAAACGAGGCATCGCGAGAGTGGCCCGAGACAACCACACACACACACATACACACCAGCACCCCAAGAGTATCCCGAACCCCCCCTCCCCTCTCCCCCCGCCTCCTCCCTCCGGTCCCCTTCCCCCCCCTCCTCCGCCCCTCCCCGCCCCCGCGTTCCCTCCCTCCTCCTCCTCCTTCGTCCCCCAAAAAAAAAAAAAATCCCCCCCCCCCTCCCCCCCTCCCCCCCTCCCACCCTCTCCCCCCCACTCCCCCCCCCTCTCCCCTCCCTCCATCTCCCCCCCCCTGGAGGAGGAGGGATGCAGAAGGAAGGCAGGGAGCCAGGAGGGAGGCGGGAGGGAGGAAGCACCCGGCGACTGCCCCTCCTCGACCGCCCCTGTGGCGCCGGCCCCCGAGAGGCGATCAACCGCAGGCGCGCGCCAGCAGGGCGGCGGCCGCCCCGACAAGTCCCAGGGCGTGGCGCCCTGGTGCGGGACGGCCCTCCTCCTCCTCCTTCCTCCTCCTCCTCCTCCTCCTCCTCCTCCTGCCTCCCTCCCCCCTTCCTCCTGCCCTCCTCCTCCTCCCCCCTCCTCCTCCTCCTCCTCCCCCTCTCCCCGCCTCCCCTCCTCCTCCCCTCCTCGCTCCTCCTCCTCGTCCTCATCCTCCTCCTCATCCTCCTCCTCCTCCTCCTCCTCCTCGCTCCTCCTCCTCCTCCTCCCTCCCCTCCTCCTCCTCCTCCTCCTCCTCTCTCCCTCCCCTCCCTCTCTCCTGGAGCCGCGCTGGGGACCCCGGGCGCCGCCCTCTGGCGCGCTGCGCGCGCCAGGAAGGGGGGTCCGGCGCGGGCCCAAGAAATCCGCGCGGGCCACCAACAGTTTGTGTTTATGTGGTTGTCTGTTCTTCTATTGCTCCATCTTTTTCCTGCTACTGCTCCGGCTCCTGCCTTCTCCCTCCTGCCTTCTCCCCCTCCTCCTCCTCCTCCTTCCTCCTCCTCCGCCTCCTCCTCCTCCTCCTTCTCTCTCCTCCTCCTCCTCCTCCTCCTCCTCCTCCTCCTCCTCCTCCTCCTCCTCCTCCTCCTCTTCCCCGATGACAGTGAGTTCTGCTCGCTGGGCACGGGTCTCACGTCACGTGCTTCCGCGCGGGTGCTCCACATGCGGTTCGGACCTGCAGGCTGCATCGACCGTCCTGTCAGATCACTCGGAGTCGCTGGCGGCACTGGCAAATCGCACCGCGGACATTTTGGCAGGAGAAAGAGATCAAGGGCATTAAAAACGCCCCTACCCTGGTTTACGAGGCGCTGTGCGCTGAACCTCCTGTGGGCTGACAGGGTAACCCTGCATATCGCGCGTGTCGCGCGGCGTCCTGGGCTCTCTGGCCTTTGGGAGCTCCTAGGAGGTTTGCGGACCACGCACTTGTAACCCAGGGTAGGGGCGCTTTTGCATCCCTCAAAGAGATGATAAGGGAGCTTGTGTCTTTGGATTTCAGCGAATATCGAGCTACGATTTTCTCGTTCAACACCGCACCCCGCAGGACTGGTCAGGACTGCGAGGAGGTGGGGGGGGGACAAGGAAGTCACACCGGTGGAGCTGACGCTCACGTGCACACGCAGGAAGGATGGAACGGAGAGCCCACCACCGGAAAATCGGTGCTGGTTTCGTGTTCGTCTCGTGCGTGCGGGCGAGGCGAGGCTGCGTGGGCGCGCGAGAGTAATGATGCCGCCGTGGCTAGGAGCTGTGAAGCCGGTTGTTCGCCCCTCCCCCCTAGCGCGCGGTGGCCGGGGCTTTCCCGTCGGTTGCGCGTCGCTGTCCCGTTGGTGTCCCGTCGATGTTCTGCGTCCCCGAGTAGGGCGGCGCGAGTCAGTGTCCTGGAGCAGGGCGGCGAGATCGATAGTGATATCGTTTGAAAGATCGGTCGTGAGATCCGCTGTGAGATCTATAGTGAGATCTGTTGTATTGGCAATGCCGTTCGCCCGGCCGAATCCGCGCAGGACGCTGCTGCGGAGAATACTCTGGGTGATCTTTCTTGACTCCCAGTGTCTCGATCGCGCCGTTCCTCATGTCTGGAGCGCGCAGGAGGAAGGGATGACAAAGAACAGCAATCATCGCAACCAGCATCATCATCATCATCATCATCATCATCATCATCATCATCATCATCAGCATCATCATCATCATCATCGTCATCATCATCATCATCATCACGCATCGTCGCCAACCCGAGGGCGCATCCCTGGCATCATCGTCATCACAACCACCAAGAGTGTCATCAGTTCTTTCTCTCACCCCTCCCAACCTCCTTGTCACCCGCAGGGTGGTCGCACAGGTACTCACATCCGCTGGCGCGTGCGTCGTGTGCCAGAGGGTCTACGCCACATAGGTGACTGCGAGCCGTCACTTACAGAGCGCCATTCTCCGTGATCGATACGATCCACGAGGGGCGTCGTCAAACGAACCCCTTCCTCGAGCCCGATCACACCAAACATCCGATGCGCGAGTTCGACGGGGCGAACTACGACGACCTCCGCTCTCACCTCCGTTGCACTTCGGGCCGCCTGTTGTTCGATAATGCAGGGCCCTTTGACGTGATCGGCTGGCGATGTCGGCTCCGCCACTGACCTCGCTCGCTCCGCCTGCCAAGCGTGGAGGCGCCCCTGCGACGGGGGCTCAGAATAAAGGCGAAAGGACGGGACGGAGGTCATGACCCGACCCAAGGAATGGTGAGGTCCGCGGTTGTCTTGGAACGGAGGACGGTGATGCTGGAGAGCGTGGCATATCGATGTTAGTTTGTGGACGAGGGCGCAGAGAGTCTGGGATTGGCCTGCACGGACGGTCTCAAGGGGCACGACGACGTCAGCAAGGCGATGAAGGAACGCGATAAGGGCGGCGGAAAGATCGATTGGAAGGCGAAGGGTCGCCACGGGTCGTACTGTTCATTCGCTAGGTCCAGCGCGCCCTCGGCGACCTCGCCGCCGACGGCAAGAAGCCGCATTCTGCGGGCCACAAGGCCTTCGCCGAGATCTGGCAGATGACAGTGGAGAAACAGTCGCCACAGGAGCTCGGGCAGTTCGCGCTGCAGTGCACTTGCAAGCGGGTGAGAGCTGCGGGAGAAGGCTGCGACCCTCAGATGGTGCGGAAGGGATTGCTCCGCGTGGCCTCTTTGTCCTGCAGGACTCCGAGGGCGCGCGGAGGCACTGGCCCACTGCTCAGGAGCGCCTCACCGAGGCCGAGCCGCCGGAGGCCATCCTTGGGCCTGCGCCCCGGGGTCCGACGGAGCGTTGGCTGGGCAGTCGGATCAAGCGGCTACGTCGGGATCGGCGACCGCTCGGAGTGCTGGTAGTGGCGTCTGTGCGATGGCAGGTCAGGCTGCTGCTCCCAGTTGGGCGACGACCCTGTCCGTCGATGTGGCTGTGCGTGTGACTCGCCACTGGGGTGCGGGAGGAAGTGAGTGCAGGGGGCTCTCGCCTGCCGGCCCTCGCTCCGCAGGTCCAGTTTCGACGCATGCCCATCCTGACCTCCCCGCGGTACCTGTGATGGTTCATCCCAGGGTCGTGCCAGCGCATCAGAAGGGGAGGGGCGGGGGTCCTGGTCGTGGGCGCCGTGGTGGTCGTTAGGACGGCGGGGGGCGTGGGAACAAATGAGCACACCTCGGGACTAGTTCCCACTGCTGCTCCTCCTCCTCCTCATCCCCCCCTTGGAGACATCGGCTGAGAGGGCTGGAGGTCATCCCGTCTGGTTTGTCCGAGAAGATGTGGTCCCCGATGTTGGGCACCCCCCTGGTTGCGCGCCAGTTCGGGGGGAGGCCCGGTAGGGGGCCGCGCGGGTGGCGACCGTCAGGCCACCTGTGCTGCGAGCGGGGTCGAGCTGCACATAAAAACACCGCGCAGAGCCCACCGCTGGTGCTAGACCCTCGACTTGGAGCGCCATGTTGCGAGATCCTAGTATCGCAGAAGCTCCTCTTCTTCCCTCCTTCCCTCCCCCCCTCCCTCCTCGTCCCTCCCTCCCTCCCTCCCTCCCTCCCTCCCCCCCTCCTCCCTCCCCTCCCTCCCTCCTCCTCGCTCCCTCTCTTCCCCCCCCCTGCTTCCATCCTCTCTCCCTCCCCCCTCCCTCCTCCACCCGTTCTCCAGAACTTCTCCCTGCCGCACCCGAAGCGGCGTGTGCCTGTGCCGGTCGGGCGGGTCGGGCGTCTCGCGCCCGAGGCCTGCCTCGCGCGCGCGCGGCCCTCGAGCTCAGAAGGAGTAAGTCTGCAGCGGCCTCACGGGGTGGAGGCTTAGAGGACCCTGGAAAACGACAGGGCCGTTTTTGCTACCGGTTCCGTTCTGCCGCTCTTTTACCGGTTCCGTCGCCGTTTTTTGACAGGTTCCGGCTCCGGTTTCAATCCTGGAGCCGTTTTTGTTGCCGTTTCCGGTCGCCGTTATTGTGCCGTTTCCTTTTTCGAGGGGCATTTTTTGGGAAACGGTGAAAAAACAGCCCTGCCGCTTCCAGGGCCCACTAAGGTCGGGGGAACGTAAGACTCGGGTAAGCCGGAACTCGGGTTTGCCGACGCTTTTTGACGAGCGCGTCCTGGATTTTGACGGTCCAGTTTTCGTGGGATGTTTGCAGTGGGAGCTCGCGTCAAGTTTCAGATTGCGTCTCATCATTTTTATGATGGACCCCGTCAGGCCAACCCGCGTCCCCCGTACCCGAGTCTTACGTCTCCCCGATAAGGGTGGAGGGCGGGCCGTTCCGAGAGAGGATCGTGGCATGGGCGCTCCGCCGCAGCAGGGGGGGCCCCCTCGCCTCAGCGCCGCGCGCACGCGTGTGGAGCGGTGCATGGTCGGCATGTTGTCCACCACCACCACCACCAAATGTTGGAGGAGGAGGGGGTCCTCCTCCTCCTCCTCCTCCTCCTCCTCCTCCTCCTCCTCCTCCTCCTCCTCCTCCTCCTCCTCCTCCTCCTCCTCCCCCTCCTCCTCCTTATCTTCCACCTCCTTTCCCCCACCGACTCATGGTGGTGGTGGTGGTGGTGGTGGAAAACAGGCCCATCTAGTGCAGGAGCTTCACGGTTGGATGGCGGGCCGTTGCCAAAATGGCGTTCGTTGTGTCGTTCCGCGCCGCGCGCAGTCGTGCAGCATGCCTGCAAGGGCTCCGCGCGTGGAGGGCGGCGCCTTGGCAGAACGGGGTTTTCGCCCCAGCGCCGCGCACATTCGCCTCGCACGACCGCTTCTTCATGAAGGATTGTCTTGGTTGGCGTCCCGGAAAGCGTGCTTTCGGAAAACATGTCTTCGCAGGCGTTATGACTGCCAGGGCGCAGCGGTCACGTCGACTCGCGGTGTTCGATTCCCCAAATTGGCGTTCTGGCACGATGTAGGACCATCACGACGCAACAGTAATGTTGATTCGCGGCGTTGCCATCCCAGGAATGGTGTTTTGGCACGGTTGGGGATTATCAGACGTTTGTTTTCCAACGGGGCACTCCTGGACGAGGAAGCGTTCTACACGGCC